GAAAGCTCAAATCTGGTATAGAGCATTTCAGGTATTTATTTAGTTGGTATTGAGGCTCACTCTCCTCGTCTTTAGTTGTGTATAATGTTAGCTTATTTGCAACTTTTCATGAATTTCAGACATTTTATGTCATGAACTTGATGATGAAGCCTGCCTTTGGTGTTGAAGTTCCAATGGGGCACCATCATGGCTCTTATAACTAATCAACCTTGCATTTGTTTATAATCCTATACTTGCTGCGGAGATGATGGAATTCTATAACCTGGACTCAGAGGTACTATGTGATTAGAGTCATAGCTTTTATGCTCCTCTTTTTATTTTGTCTAATCATGTCTTGAAAACAATCTTCATACTACTTCATGCTGGTCATTTTTGCTTCGACGAGGCTTTTCATGTATTTAGCTTTCATCTCTCCTTTTCTCCTCTTCAAAATATTGTATGAGACAAATAAGTCATCATAGCTTTGGTCATGTTTTGTCAAGAGGCTAGTTTCTACCTGCAAATACAGTGTAGATGTTCAATACAGTGACAATGATATCACTGAACACACCAAAACTAGTCATCACTCCACCAGTACAAACTTGTTTTTAGTTATATGTTCTTTTTACAACAGATCTTCATTTTTACACCCAACTGATCATAACAGATCATTTCTACATAGCTTTTAGTCTGCTATCACTATAAAAGTTACAATTTCAAAATGAAATCTTTTATGGAGACATTTTTATCATCATATGAAGGAGGAGGCTTCTGTGGCAACAGATTTGTTGCTGTGTCACCCAGAAGAGCAAAATGTTCTGGACAAATATGGATGTGTATGCTTAATTAATCGAAATACTAAAACGGGAAGAAATCAATTGGTTTTACATCTATTCGAATATATTCTTTGATGCTATACACTTATTTTTATGTATTATCAAGGAACATATATATTAATGTTACCAAACGTCACCCTTCTCTTCAGCAACTGATTTTAGAGATACTATAATCATATACAATCGCTGACGATGAAATAAAACAATTTTAGTACATACCAAATATAAGCACCAAACACACTTTTCTTTTCCACACGCTGCGCCTACTAAATCAACGTCTCTACTATTAGGGAATCACAAAAAATTAAAGGCAAATGGCTCTTCCTAAACTTGTAATAATAAAGTGATAATTAAGGTGAAGTTGGGACCTCCAAGGACTTAGTGCTCCATTTGCCATCTCTTAAGACATGATTAGACACATAGTAATGATGAAAGTGTCAATTAAAGAGATATGCTTTCTCTATTTGTCGATTGCCTTGGAGTCACAAAACACCATTTTTAAGTACCAAATTTCTCTATTATCCAATCATTATTGCTTTTGGGTGTTTTTGTTAATGCTCATATAGCCATACGTAGTGTTATTATATAGCCTGAAATTTAGCAAAACGTTACTTTACTAAGCATGACAAAAGAAAAGTATTGGTTCGCCATGCTGATTAGCACTTGTTTTTCATCTCCATTATTTCTCAAGGCAAAGGATATATCACAGTAAGCTACGGTAACAATATAATCTCATGAGTGAGGTCTAAAAAGGGTGATGTGTACTCAAACCTTATTCCTATCTTATGAAGATAAAATATTTTCGTAAAGTCCCAGCTCAAGAAAAGCATTTCAAAGCACGTGTGAAAAAGGAATATGTCACTTTAAACAAACTACAGTTGAATTCATTTTGGGTTAAGTACTACTTTTGAAAAACCAAAAGGAAAAAAAAAGCCACTTCGAACAATCGTTATAAGAAATTCAATTCCATCTTTCACCACTTAGCTTAAAATGTATAAGAAAAAGCAAATTGCCCCTTTGATCATCTAGTGCTTCACACACCATATATTTTAACAGTTTTTTTAACTTCAAAAATAGGATTATAACTCAAGGGTCCCTATTTGTTAGTCATGATGAAGCCCGCCGTTCAAGAACTAATCTTTTAAACCCTTTTATGTAAAAAGAAGAAAGACAAAGGGAAGTTGGAGACAAAGTTTATATGAACTTTAAAACTGGGACCTCTCCATATCCAGTTTTAGAATATATGTATTCTAGTCTTTCACTTAACTCAGCTTATTTTTGAATTTTTAAGATTTCAAAGGACCCTCGAACTTTACTATGGTCGCTGGTTGGGAACAAGTTATCCGCGGGGTTAATTATACTAGACAAGTTGTCCTGGGATAAGTTATTCCATATACACTAAGGTATAAATGGTGGAATAAATAATCCGAAGACTGCCTAATATCTCCAACCAAACACAGGATAAATTATTATATCTAATACCTCATCAGCATTATATAAACCATACTGCTTCCTACAACTTGTATACTATGTTAACTTTCTTCGGTATCAGAAGATTGATATAGGATAAAGTAAGTCCAGTAACAAGTTAAAAAACATTCACAAATTTTGTACTAGTTAATAACTCACTGATCTCCTCCTTTTGAATGATTATAATGGAGAAGGTGAGCTCTTGTGGTGTTAAATGCAAATCAAATAGGTTGGAAGGGATCGATGAAGACGGTGCAACAAATTGGCTACCAGGGGCATGCCCTCCACCAGAAACTCCTACTGAGTCTATGGAGTTCCTTGCAAGATCATGGAGTCTGTCAGCTAAGGAACTCTCTAAAGCTCTTTCTCACACAAAACAAACAAGTTATGTAGATGAGAAGATGTCATTCTCTTCATTACAAGGGCAACATGGAAAGACTTCGATTATGGAGGAACCTGTAAACATCTCTTCGTTCAAGCTTGTGGTTTTGCTCATTTATACTGTTATGGAAATGCTTACTTCATTAATTGCTTACAAGTTTCTACGTTTATTGTCTTTGTACTGCAGCAAGAACAACCACTACCCAACTCTGATAGCCCTCCAGTTTCTCCAAGGGGAAGTGATGACACAAAGGTAAAAGCAAACGGAGAAGCAAGACGGGGGAAGGGGTTCTATCTATCTAACACATGCATGACTGCAACTAAAATTTTTGGATATTTACTCCACTCTTTGAAATTATAATAGGCTAGAGAAGTAACAGTAGTGATGAGCCATTTTGCTGAATTACAATAATACAGATTAGGCACTACAATAATGAAGCACGTGTTTGGCTAAAAAAGCGACCACAAAGTCTTCATCATCATTTTGTGAATCCAAATAAGTAGATGGAAAACTTATATTGGAGTGCCCTCTAGGTTGATGGGAATACACTCAATTTTTTCCTTGTCCCCCAAATCATTCTTTAACTCTCAGCTGAATAACTATACTTGTATTGATATGTGCAGGAATTGTTTTTACTACATCAGGCACTCAATTCAGATTTCCTCTCCAGTCATCATTTGCTGAAAGCTGGGGTATACAATTATTTTGACAATAACTTTACTGATTCGTCTGAACAATCACGACTAAACTGCCATGATGCAGCTCTACAGGACCGTGATGCGTGGCAAGACAATGGGTAGGTGGCTGAAAGATCAAAAAGAAAAGAAAAAACAAGAGCTTAGAACTCACAGTGCCCAGGTGCATGCAGCAGTTTCAGTAGCGGGGGTTGCAGCTGCAGTGGCTGCTCTTGCAACCTTATCAGTAACTTCTCCAGAGCAGTCCATAACCAAACACAACACGTCTTCAAAGATGTCAACTGCAATTGCATCTGCAGCAGCTTTAGTTGCATCCCACTGTATTGAAATTGCAGAGGATATGGGTGCTGAGCAGGATCAAATCTTATCAGTTGTAAATTCAGCTATCAATGCAAGAACTAGTGGAGACATCATGACTCTAACAGCTGGGGCTGCTACAGGTATAAATCCAACTGGTCTCGGTGGACCATCAATCTAAAAGAGACCACATCACCAATCAATTTGACAATGAAATACAGCTTTTGCATTCTTCTTTACCGTGAAATCTTTGCATAATAGTCAAGCCAATCTCCTTTGGACCATGAGACTGCTGTATGTTAACGGAACATAATTTCATACTCTTCATTTTCCAGCTGTTGCTATCTATAGGGATGCAAACAACTCTGCTCAACAGTTTCATAACATAAGAAAGCTTAAACTGGTAATACTGATTTCTCTCATTGGCATTCACAATTACAGCATTGAGAGGTGCAGCTACTCTAAGGGCGAGGCTACAGAAAGGAAATGGAGCTGCAGCTATTGCTCTAGCTGATGAGGGTGTCGAAGGTAACAAAGAAGCAACTGTTACAGCAGCTCTTAGTTTTGTTGCCAAAGGGGGAGAACTGCTCAAACGTACAAGAAAAGGTAAAATAAATCGAGGAACTACACTTATCTTTCTGGAGATATTGCAGCTGTTTTTTCAACAATATTTCTGTTCATGCAGGAGATCTACACTGGAAACAAGTCTCTTTCACCATAAACTCAGATTGGCAGGTAATATGCAGAGTATACTATTTAAATGGATAGACTGTCTATTAGAAACGTGAACATCTTTTAAGCAGTTAGATTAAAAGCAACAAACTTTACATGTGCACCCCTACATGGTTGTTATTTCATGTTTTGCCTATATTATCATAACAGAAGTGCAAATATGAATCTTGCTAGCAGGTGATAGCTAAAATGAAAAGCAAGCATATGGGAGGAACATTCACAAAGAAAAAGGAATGTAAGCACAAACCAATACTCACTCTAGTATCAAATTGTGTATGTGATCCATTACACTTTCATCTAAATTGGTGCTTGATGAGGGCCCAGGTGTGGTCTCTGGAGTCTGTTGTGACGTACCAGCATGGCTTGGACGAGATGAGGAACATGACGAGCAGAAGTGCTACTTCGGGATACAAACTGCTGACAGGATGATTGAATTTGAATGCAGAAACAAAGGGGAGAAACAAATGTGGGTGGATGGGATTCAACAAATCTTGTGCTGCCGCATGACCATGACATGACTTTGGATGAACGTTCCAGAAGAGAACAAAACAGTAGTTTTTAGAGCAATTGACAATGTGTGACTTTTAAACTCTAAAATACAGCATCAAATCAGAGAAGCAATGGATTGATTTAAGCTAGTACATCTGTATAGGGATAGATTACATATTTGAAAATGGCAATACAATGAGCCATTCATGGTTGTTTTTATATAAGTAAAACTATCCATCGTTCAAGCCGGAAATAGATTATCTGGATAATGGATAATATCACCGGAAAAATTGTGACAAATTATTCAGAAACTGAAAGATTGAGATGTTTGGGTTAGTACTGCATATGTTCACTCTAATTCCTTCATAAAATCAGCATTATCAACAAAAACCTGCAAGACGACAAATGTGAGATATTTGGGTTAGTACTGCATACGTTCACTCTAATTCCTTCATAAAATCAGCATTATCAACAAAAACCTGCTAGACGACAAATGTGAATGACTAAGATGGAAAGCAAATAAAGAAAAAACTTTTATCCTTCCTATTCTGGTACCTATCAAGTGTTTTACACTGAAATTAAGCATATTATTCCATCTCTGCTACATGGTTTGAAGTAGTCCTCCCTAACTTGATTCTAACATGACATCATTTCACTAGCCGGAAACCTTACACCAATCACCAATCTTATAGTGGTGTATGCTTTTGCCATTTAGCGATGTCTCAATTGAACAGATCTAGATATTATCCTATATACTTCGGTTTTACTATTGCAGAAATAATGTTTCAGCGATCGAATTTGAATCCTCTCAAACAATAACATCTGGTTTTCCTAAGTTCAATAGGTGCTGACTGCCATGCTACACCAAAGACTTAGTTGGTCAAATTAACATATGAATCTTTTAGGCAATCTAGTGTCATCTGTTTTACACACATTGAAGAAAATAATGTCACTGCTGCAGATTTGAATAACCAGTTTTTCTCTCTCACCTAGTGTATGGGGTTAAGTGATTAGAGGTATTGTTTATTCTACGCGGTCCTAGCTAATTCGTGTGAGTGAAAATCAACGAAGTGAAGTTTTTAGTGATTGATCGTTTTATAACTTTTGTCTTTGTCACTTTCCTCAAGTAAAGCTAGAAGATAGTCAATGTTGAAGGTAGATATCGGCCTTCAAATTGTGGATACTTTTAAACTAGTACTCTGACAAAATAAAGCATGAGATGTCTAGAAACAAGTTTTGGTGCATTGTCTAATGACAAAAGAAATCTGCCAGTTCATGCCAAAATAATCATAATTGTCGAAGACTTACTGTCTTCCAACCATCAGGATCAATGCATGCCATGATCTTGGTGTTTATACCCGGCAAAGGTCCAGGTTCAAGTACAATTTCCCCACCATACAGTTTTATAGCTTCTGCAGTCTTGTAGACGTCATCTGTTCCTACTGCAATCTGCAAAGACATGCAATGTTCCTTACAAGCTGAGATCTACGGAGGTTTCTCAAGTCTGGGAAAGAATCTATGATCAATTATAAATTCGAATGAGTTTGTTAATGTTACTTGTCTTAAACTATATCGAACAATTACATATTTGAATGACGTTACCTGAGCATAACCATTTCCTTTATCATAGCTTTTGACACCATACATATATGTCAACTCCAAAACTGTATTTTTATCTTCAGGTCCATAACCCATGATGGCTATTGTGTTCTGAGAACAAGTGTTAATAATTAACAAACAGAAGAGAGGGACAACCATAAACTAGCATTAAGAAAATGTCCAAGTAAAAAAAAATGCAATATATTAAGTAGCAAGCATTACTTTAATAAAATCTAAAGGAGAATATAAGAACAAAAACCATCCTAGTTTAGCGACCAAAACTAGCATGGCAGAAATCGTCCACCACATTGAACATGAAGTATGTTTGCAAAATTGATGAAGAGAACCAAGAGCAAAAGAAAACACCAATGAGAAGTTGTTTTATTAAAGGTGTTGCAGCCATAAACCAAAAAACTAAGATTGCCGCCCTCAAATAGCTTAAAATTTTACATGAGGTGGTTCATACAATTAAACAAATGAAAGAATTAGAGTATTCAATCAAAAATCACAAACAATGAGTGGAGTGACATTTAAGACCTTTATGAACTTCCATTATAAAGCCCTTTCGAAGCCCTTTTACACGAGACAATATATAACTACACACACTTTCTTACTTATAATCCCCTCTAGTTTAATACCGACTAAGAAGAGAGAAGATAGGCTTATTTAAGGTTGGCTCAGATACGATATACAATAAGCCAAGCATCTAACCCAAAGCCTCAACACATGAATTGAGTGACCCAATATGTTTATAGACTCTATTGATGATGCCTTTTATACCCAATATAGGACTCTCTGTTACTCAACAAGACGATTGCATAAGATTCAAACAAGAACAACATAACCACAGAAAGTATATTTGCAAAAACACCTAAAAACTCACTTTGTTGTCCGGATTATCTCTTTTTCGAAGAAGCTCCATGCCAAATGCCTTGAAAAATTAATCAACAATGAAGATTTAGTGTTTCTTGCAATAAAAAACGACAAGTTTGTACCAGAACTTTCATCCAGCTAATCAGTTTACCTTCTTATAGAAATTAATGGACTGGTCAAGATCTCCTACACGAAGCATTACTTGACGGAAAGGTTCAAGAGTAGGCCCTCTCTCTAATAGTTCAAAATTGTAGCCATCAGGATCTTCCACGAGGGAAACTATAGGTCCTCCATCTTTAGCTGGACCAGGTTCCTGGACAATCTTCCCTCCCTTTGCTTTTACTAGGTCTACCATTTTAGCAACCTATGTGGAAAATTCAAAAAATAATTGTAAGGAAAAAAGAGAAAGAAATACAATTAGAATATTTCTAAAGGTGTCTGACTAAAACACTGTACTCATGGAAAGATATATGATAGTCACCAGCTAGTAATGAGTAGAGTAACTTCTAAAACCAAGATCAACGTCAACCAAAGAAGGGAAAAAGGCAAAGATAATCAATTCCAAGGAAACATCCCTAAATGCCTGTAACTTTCATGATCTTAGTTTACTTGGTAGTATGACATCAGAGAAGTATAAACGGAACCAATGAATTTTTCATATTATGAACTACTTACATCGTCAACAGCAATTCCAAAATGACCAAAACCAGTTCCAATGTCATACTTGTCAACTCCATAGTCTGAAAGCAACAGGGTAAAGTACATCGACTATAACATCCTAAAGCACAATAAATGATTTTCGAAGAAAGCACCGTGCCAACTGCTAGCTATGAGGAGCCTTACTGTAAGTAAGTTCAACGGAAAAATTTGATTCTTCAGGTCCATAACCTAAAAAAGCATTTGAATAGCCCTCCTCTGGTATGTCTCGTTGCCTTAACAGCTTCATTCCCAAGCATTCTCTGTAAAACCTGTATCGCAAGAACAACTCTGGACTCCGGTACCTAGTTGGTAATATGAAACATAGTATTGAAGCTTCAAACTTTTTCTACATAAAAGTAAACTTACTTAATCGTCTTGTCCAAATTCCCAACACGATAAACGACATGAAGCATTCTTCTTTTGTCCTTCTTGATCCACTCTGATGCAGTTTCATCATTTAGCGCAATATTTGACTGCGCCAGTTCAGCAACCATTCCACTTTCAATCACTTTCCCTTCAGCACTAAGAGATTCAGGTGCTTTTCCATTAAATAATTGTGACTGGGTGATGACTGAATAACAATGAAGTTCAGTAAGTCATTTACTAATACACCATTGTTCAGTCTTTATTCTGTCTGAACTAAGTGATGGTTAGATCCAAAATCTCAACTGCACTATAGTCCCTTGATCGATATTTTTTGTGCAACGAGGTTTGCAAAGAACTTTGTGTTCATTCAGGTACAAACGATACCTCCTACATTTATTTGTCAGTATGATGCTGTCAAAGAGAACATTACCAACTATACAATAGGCTTTATGTGAGCTTAGTTTTGCTCAACTAGTTCTATTGCATATTTCTCTGCTACACCTCGCTCGACTATTAGAAAATAATAGGAAATATAATTGAAGAAGAAGATGGCTTTGAGACGTCTAATCATTTTCTTTTAAGAGATATTGCCCATATACGTATTGGGATAAATTCAAAAAAATCCCTTCAGGATACAGCAAAGCTCTTTGTTTATGCATGCAGATTTTGTTTTAGGCTACTTCCAGAGAGTCTTGTATTTATAGAACTTAAGAGATACTTTTCATCAGAGTCATGTTCTTTCACGATCAAAAGGACTTTTCATGAGAGTCATGTTCTTTCACGAACAAATAACTTTTTATAAGAGTTAGTTCTTTCACGAACAAATAACTTTTCATAACAATCATATTCTTTCATGAATAGATGTGTCTTGTTCAATTTAAGACCTCTATGTATTACAAAATATCCAACATCGACATCCTATATGATGTTATTATCAAATGATCAGTTATAGCTAGTTCATCAGTTCAATGAAGTTTACTACATTTTCTAATTTTCTAAGAATTGAAAGATCATCATGAAACCCATCAATCAAATAACTTTCATCCAAGTGATTTTCACAAAGTGCAATCGTAGGCTCATGAACCTTACATATAGTAATGAGTTGACTACCAATTCAAAAACAACAACAAAAAACCCAGTGTAATCCTGCAAGTAGAGTCCGGAGAGAGTAATGCGTACGCATACCTACGAAAACCTAAATCTAAAATCTAGCTCTGAGCACTACCAATTCTAGATATGGTGCATTTTCAGCAAAATTTGCAGTAGAAAAGATGAAATGAAATGGAAGAACCTGTACCGAGTTGAAATAAAGCAAGCCTACGAGATGAGTTATAGGCAGAAGGCACAATGATACCGCATCCATTATTAGTTGGAGAAGGAAAAATGGACTTCAATGGCTGTTGAATTTTTGGGGAAAATATTTGTAGAGCCATTTCTTTTGAATTAAAACCAAGTTTTTCTGTAACACCTCTGTCCTCTCCATCTATCAAACTTTATCCTAACTTATACGTATGGGTGTGGATAAAATACCTTTTAATTTAATTTTGCGATACATGTCACCTCTCAACAATAAATACTAGATAATTGTATTTATTAATACTAAAATAAATTGAATAGACACACGAATTTAACGTAAACAGAAATGGGAGAAATATTTTAAAAAACAAACGAACAATTGGATTACCCATGGGAATTGAGGAGCAATGAAGCTCAATTAATATCAGTACCCCTCCAAGTGTTGCCCATTTTATTATTGATTTCATCTCAACAACTTAATACAAAAATCTCATCAAATCTTCTAACTCAATTTTATTAGCTTAAGCAAAAATTGCCCAATTTGTGATAATAATTTGGAAGGTATGTAAGGATGATAATGAACAAGATATGAACAAGAATATGATAAATGAATTAACAAAAATGAGTATAGAATTTAAGGGCTTATAATCTGATTGGAGAAAAAGAACAATTCTAGTGTATGAAAGATAAAGGATGCTTTAGAAAGGTTTTAAGCAAATTTTGTAAAATTACATATTTATCATAGGAAAATTACATATTTAAGCATAACTATATCTGCCCGAGGTTCCAGAAACACACTTATACTATACTAAGGTTCTATTACCACCCTAAACTTATTTTATAAATAATTTTCTACCTCTTTTTGGCCTATGTAGCACATAGGCCGAAAAGAGATAGAAAATTATTTATAAAATAAATTGAGGAGGTATTAAACCTTAGTATAATATAAGTGTATCTCTGAAATTTCAGACATAGATTGAGAGGATACTTATGCATTTTTCATATTTATCATTAATATTTTTAAAGAATGTATCAAAATGATATTTTGATAAAATTTATAATTAGAAGAGTTTGAAACTTAAATATGAGTAGAAAGAGTTTTATTTTCAGCAAGAGCAAAGAATTAATTTTGTATTTACATAATAGACCTAGTTTTTCTTTACATATTGTATATCTAAAGAACAGTATTGATAGAATGTATGTCTTCACTTAACAAGTG